GTCCAAGAGCAATCATCCCCCATCGTGTCAGCACACGTGCTCTACCTCACGGCTGCCAGCATACTCCAGGCAAGACGATGCAAATTACAGCTCTAGCTGGTATGATTCATTGTGTAGGTCTCTCGGATACTGTTTGAAGCAAAATACTTCACTCGAGCGATAGATGAAGCCCAAAAGTCGCTAAAAATGTTTGCCATCGCTCGTGATGCAACAGCCAACGGCACAATCTCCATGCCAATTGATTTTGTCAATGGGTTGCTCTATCTAGGTCCAGGCGGCCCTTTGAAAAATGGTTCGAATGCTGAATTCAGGCGAGCTGAGGCGCTTGCTCACACAGTACTTGGGGTGGCTTTGATGGTGAGTGCAAAGTCAAACAATGATGCCAGCTTGAGCGACCTTGGCTACCTCATGACCCCGTCAAGATTCCCTGTTGTTGCGGCTGATCATCATTTCAGTCTGGCTGCAGCCTTGGATCCGTGGAACACTGAGGTTTTGTGTGCTCGAGCGAACCTTCGTCTTGATTGTAAAAACATACCTGGCGCCTTACGGGACCTCAAGGAGGTCACCTTACAAGACTCATCTTTGGCTGAAGCTTATATTATGCGCGCGTCTATTTTCATTGATGAGATGTGTGATCTCAAATCTGCCGCGATCGCCGCAAAAGAGGCGCACGCACAGAACTCTGTCACATTCTTCTGTCCCCGAAACTCAGCAATTATTGCGTATAGGTAATCACACTGCCTGGAGATACACGACCCCGGCTTCTGTTGGCCACCTGTGCTGTGCGCCGAGGTGATGTAAGGACCTGTATTCGTCAATATTCTCACCTTTGTCACTCATTCCCGACCTCGGCAGCGCTGCATCGACTCCGAGGTGGTGCCTGAGTGGATCGATAAACACCCAATTTCTGGATTCTTCGCCAAGATAAACTAGCTTTGATCACATCACAGGCCTAGCTATACTACGCCTCCACGATCAGATACATCTCGCAGCTCATGCCCTAGGAAACTTTCTCTATTGCACTTCATCGAGCGATAACGGCATTCTGCATCGGTACCCCGCTCCACTTGCTTCGGCATCGTCAGTGACGGACAAAGAATTGGTCTCCGGTGCCCAGAAAGACGAGTGGCAAGGTCAGCTCGAGCTTGCTCAGAATCACCTCTCGCGGGCCGCTGTCGCCTTTGAATGTGTCCTCGCTCATAAAGTCATTGGATCTAATGCCGCTCCTGAATTAGAGAGCACATTAGACACGAATTCACGAACCTATCATCGTGCAGTGATGGGCCTTGTGGAAACGTCACTTATCACTGGGAGATTCCGACGGGCAGTGGATCTACTTAGTAGTGCCGTTTCTTTGTGCGGCCTTTCGAGTAAAAATGTGGCCCAAATTCATCATCTCCGAGCTCGCTCTTATGCGGGACTTGGGTATGCAGCAGCAGCCCTAGAAGAGTTTTCTATTTTCATCTCAAATTACGCGATCATGCTGCAAAATCAGGGTCGGACGGTAGACGTATGGTATAAGCTTGAGAGATCCGCGGATCAGAACAACTACACCCGCAAACAAGAGGACACTGCT